TGGCCGAGCCGCAGCGAGAGGCCGCTCCACGTGCCGGGGCTCCCGGACAGCTCCATCGCGCCGCCGGACTGGCCCCCGAGCGCAGCCGCCCGCTCCCTCAGACGCCGGGCCGGCGATCGGCAGCCATGCGGGCGGGCGGGCTAGAGTGGGGCGGGCCTGAGGGTCTCGGTCGGCGGGGCGGCGTGCGGCGAGCAGCGGCGGAAAGGTGATGCTCGCTCGGCGGAGTCAGGGGTTTTCGATTATTTTTTTGCCCGAAGGGGAGAAGCGGAGGGGATGGCAGAGATGGGAGAGAAGCGAGGGGGAGAGCAGACTTTTTGCGACGGGGTTTGGACTTTTTGGAGAGGTGCGGCGCGACCCGGTGGCGACGGAGGTTGGTCCGTTACAGTTGTTGGCACGGGGCGTTTTGGTCAAGCGGTGCGGGCGGGGATTGCGGGGTCGGCTGAGCGGCGCCGGCCCGGCCGGACGCGGTTGCTTGCGTCCATGGCTTTATCGCACCGCCGAAAACTCTTGCCGATAATACGACCTTTTCTCCCTTTTTTTTGTGGGAGATATATAAAAGGGGTTTCATGTGTCCTTTTCTCTTTGTGCCCGTCCACGATGCACGCAGGAACCAGCTTTACCTAACCGTGAAAGCTCCCTGCGAGATTAACAAAACCAGATCTATTGGCCACTGTCTATTTCACTTATTAGGCTTTGTTTGGTTGCATGGTAAAGAAAATATAGGGCCACAAACATTAGGGGAGGGGAATTTCACAAACACATGGGACAAGTTTCTACCACATCTCTACTACTATTAAAAAAGCAAACTTAAGTTCCCCTAAAATCACCTCACAAAATGTACACAGATTAACCAGGATCCTTCGATCTGATCCAAGTAACAAAATCTAAGAGTCAATATTACTTTGTGGTCTGCCTCCCCCATCGAACGGCTCACGGTAAATGTTCTGCCACGGTCTGCCAATCGAAGCGCGATGGGTCGGTCCGTGATATCCCTTCCCACGATCCCTCCTCCTCCCAGCCGCCCCCTCGCCAGCGCCCTCCTCTTCTGGCCTCCGCCCACGCCTCCCCACGCACGCAGCCGCCGACGCTCCATGTCTCCGCCACGCCCCTGCCGCCGGCGCGCCATGTCTCCACCGCAGGAACCGCCTCATCTAACAAGAAGATTGAACGCCCTCGCCGCCGGCGCTCCATGTCTCTGCCGCAGAAGCCGCCTCATCTGACAATGAGATTGGACGCCCCCGCCGCCACTTTAGAAATCGGTGAATCGCCGCTGCTGTTACTCCACATGCGAGGATCATCAGTACAATCTTCAGCTAGCACACATCGGGGGCGCAGGAATCAGCACAAGATGATGTTGTCGCCATTCTTCCGCACAGCCGACGTCGCGGAAGCTGCTCTTGCTGTTCCTATGCACGGCCGCCAGCGTTCTTCCGCACAGCCAAGGACGGAAGCGACTGCCGCTGCTCCGCCTTCCATAACCGTTGTAGCGCGGTGAGTGAACGCCCTAGGGAAGGGTGGTGGCAGAGGCCGCACATGGTGCGTGGATGCCCACCACATGTTCGACGAGTTCCTCTGATTGACCTCTCTATCTCTGGCGCTCTGTGTTTCAGTTTCCATGCTCCCGTGCTTCATACCTTTCTTCTGATAATCCCTACCAACTTGCCGCTGAATTTTCAGAAGCATGAATGTGATTCAGTGCACAACTTTCCTGTTTGGAAAAGGCATGTGTTCCTGTCCCTGTCCGAAGAAAAATCTGGTCTTACAGTATACTTTGTACTTCATCTCTCAGCAATGAGATGCTTAGGTCGATCCATTTGCATCGGCTGATGCTGTTCAAGATAAGGCAACTGTCGTTCTGTCGGCATATTCCGTCTGTCCAGGACGTTCTCAAGCACCACTAGACATTTTGCAGGGCGCTGTACGATTAGGCTTGGACCGGATCAGAGAAATTCTTTTCTATTTTCAAAAGTGTGTAGCTTACATTGGAGGGGGAGAGAGAGAGAGAGACCGGCTAGGACACCATCATTAGATAGGTTAGCGGTTTTTAACAGCGTACATGATTTTTGCTTATGTGTGTTTTACAATATTCAACCCCAATTTTTTTCTTGATCTGTGTTGCTATTTTCCTGCACCATGATTTTTACTGTTTGATTCGCTCTTGTCATTCAGCCTGACACTTTGAGTCTGAACCATAATTTTCTCATTATTCCAAGTATGCATTTGTAATTGTAGGATAATCATACAAGTCCTTCTAGCATTTGAATTTCAAAAGGTAGCTCAGAGACTCACAGTACGATCTGATCACATACTATGCATTTATGTTATAGAATTTCCAAATAATATATTCTTCATAGTGCTAACAGTGTTACTAACGTTCTGTCAAAGTGTCAAGCATATCTGATGCTGCAATTAACTCATTTCAGTCTATTAATGTCATATTAGCTTCCTCTTTGACATAACAATTTGCTACTGAAAATACATGAGGATTTCAGCCTTTTCATCTCTTAAGAGTGGAAACTAATTGAATGGGATAATGATACTATTTGGATACCACAACTTAATTTTACTGCCTTTGCAGACAGTTGCAGAACTCTTTTTCTTTCATGTTTGTACAGAGAAACATTCATTCACACATTTATGCTCCAAGTCACGGTGTTGGCCAATCACCTGAATGAGAGGGACACCTGTGTCCGACAGATCAAGATATATGGGCCACAACAGTAAGTTGGATTTTCTAGGCTCCGTAAAAAAATATTTAAAGAATAAT